CATTGTTACATCACTAAATAACCTGAAAAATAAGGTTGGCTTATAACCTAGTCCTTTTCTCAATCCTTTGGAAGACTTATCTATGTATCAACAGTGCTATTTTCCCTAGCAGGCAAACTCTACTCACTATAAATTATTTATAGTCATGAGCACTGCACTGTGGAGAGACTAGGGGGGGGGGGGGGATACTTTAGGTTGGTTACCACACTATGAGTAAAATGCTCTGCAATCCCACTGTTTCTCCTTACTTTGGATGCTTAGCTTTATAACACCTACAGATGCTGAAATATCTCACTTAAGATCCTTCTTGGCATTGTGTATTTATGCAAATTGACGTTTTTTATTTATGTAAATTATATGCTAACACCTGGATCAGATAATTCATTATTCATTAGGTGAATTCCAAAGAACTGGAAAATATCCGTTCATTAAAGTAACTATTTACAATAGACTTTAGATTTTTATATTTTCTTAATCTGACAAAAAAAAATCTCAATGCATAATATGCGGCAAAGACAAGCCAAACCAATCACTCATCACATTAAAATTGATTCTTAATAATCAATACAGGGTTAAAGAGTGAAATGAGAGCTATTAGATGGTAAAAGAATAATTTAAATCAGACATTTTGTTATGAAGTTACAAGAGTTTCAACCATATGTTTAAAGAACAATTCTCGAGCGAAACCATCACCAGATAGTTAAAAAATGTTGTTTTAACATTGAAAAATGGGGAAAATAACAACACAGCATGATGTATAGATATACAAATGTTAGTTTAGTGCAATAAAATAGATTTTTTTTAAATTGACATTCCCGCATGTTTTGGACATTATCTCCGGAAAGAAGATTTGCAAGGAGTGAATCTTAAATACTGTACGGCTTGATGTCTGTAAGAATTGGCCATAATCCCAACTCTCTACCCCACACAACCTCTTGCCCAACCAGTTTTTAAAAAAAGTAAATACCACTCTAACTTACGGATTGTCAATCAGCTCATCTATACTGGGTAGCTTAGTTTTACAAGATTCTGTATTTAATATTGATTCCAAAACAGATTCTGGAAATGTGGAAAATAAAGGATTAACATTACTTCATTTTCTTTATTTTTCTAACAAAAAATATGGCATAATCAAAATCCGTTCAGTGGTCAATGAAATAAAACAACAATAAAGGTATATACTAAAAGAGAAGAAGTTATGTATTAAATATTTAGTTGTAGTGAAGGAATTTATGTTGAGTGTTGGTTGAGATGTAATGTTCCAGCTTCTGTTTGTTCTGCCGATGCTCGTTTAAAGTCAAACAACCATCACTAAGAGTTAGGGGGAATAAGTAAGTGCTGCAAAGGGGCTCCTGTAGGACCCCCAGAGGAGCAGCTAAAATTTCTAATTCCTTTATGAAATAGAAAAAAGAGGAAAACAATATTAATTATTCATCTTATCTGCTAAAATTGAGGCGAGTTGATTGGCCTGGCGGTTAAATCAGGGGAACGTAACCTTCAGCTATAATATCGGTGCTGGTTCGTACGGCTCACTCACTAATGGTTCCAGTGGTGGAACAAGTCTTTTTGGATAAGGACTCTAAACCGTAGGCCTAGTGTACGCATTTGTGTCTGACCGTATCAGACTCAAACCCTTCTAAAAGGACCTGTTCTGTACATCCTTCGAGAAGAGTATGGGGCTACCCCGGTGTACTGGTCCAATCATTTCTTTGTTGTTTAATGGATATGCCACCTAGGATAGTGATTAAGTTCACTGATTGGCATATCCTTGGCGCTCGTGCCTAAAGAAATGAAATGAAAAAATGAAATAAAATAAACCAAACACTAGTGACATTATAGTACTAACAAAATATGCAATAGTATGATAAACTTATTACTTACTAATAGGCGGTGGAGTTGTGTGCGGGAAGTTGTCTTTTGTAGCTCCGTTGAGCTGCTCACCAAACACCATTTCAAAGAGCAAATGACCAAAGCAGTAAACATCAATTGCTTCCGTTGTCTAAGAAAAACAACAAAATGAAGATAATTATAGCGCAAGTTCTCTAAAGAAGGTACAAACTGTGCCGTACAATTGTCGTACAACGAGTCAAAACTCCATTACCTGTGAGCGCTAGACGATGCGACGCCATCCGTTGATTGTCGGTGGCAGGCTGAACAGATTGTCATTAGAAACGATCCACTGCACGCTCATTGTAGCGTTTTGTTCTCTATAGAATCGTGTCAACTGATGACGGTCGAGTGTAGTGAGTGATAACAGTTAAAAAGATTTATTCGAGTCTTCAGACATATTGAAATTTATTTAATTGTCTCACCACCACAAATAAATCAAATTCAAAAATATATATAATCTATATAACAATATAATAAATATAATACAAAATTATAAAAGATATATAAATGACTCAGAGAGTATATGTTATTTGTTAAAAGGCCAAAGGTCGCTATAACTTTATACATCTGTGCAGATCCTAACAAAAAATTCAAATTACATACTCACATTAATCTTTTTAAATTGAGTAAAATACATCCTATAATATGATGGTAATCCAAGCAGACTATTTTCAATATCGAGAAGTCGACAGGTGTTGCCTTCTAACATCACATTCGATGCATGCAAGTGGCCATATGGAAGGCCTTTCTCATGGAGGAACTTCAACGCCTATAGATTGAAAGTAAAATAAACAGAAGTTGATAATATATATTGAAACGTATACATGAAAACAAGAAATTTGACTGTTTAAGTTGCCGAAGTAATGCAAAATCCAAAGTAAAGATCCAACCGACTCTGCCCCCTGACCCCAGTTAGTCTACCTTTGCACACCAACACATGCCAATCCTGTACAAGGCACTAATTTGTAGCCCCCCCCCCCCCAACTGCTTCTCAACCTTCAGTG